TTATTCGGAAATAAAATTTTTTTTTGTCTTCGAAACAAACACGATTTGAGAAAACATGTTTTGTTTGTTTGTTTGTTTGTTAATACCTATGATGGGAAAACATGTGATTAACATAATCATCGATAAATAAATAAAATAATATTAATAGTTATTAATTAAATTAAAAAAGAAAAGAAAAGAAAAGGAAAATTATGGACTTTTAAATAATTAAACGTAATAATCTTAACAATCTCATTCAATAACAATAATAATAATAATAATAATAATAAAAGTCGTTGTAATAAAAGGGGATGTCGCTCTCCACCCCCCATCCACCCCCACCCCACCCACAATCGAGTGATTTCCGTGTTTATTTGAATTTTGTTTTTTACAACAACAACAACAACTACTACTAGTAGTAAAAAACATAGCAACCGTATCGATTGTTTTTTTTTTTAAAACAAACAAAAACGTAAACATAAAGGAAAACATTGCGTAATTTTTTTTTTTTGTTTTTTTCTCTAAATCCGATTTGTAAAGTAAAATTAAAAATAAAAAAAATGAATGCAAATAACAAACGGTACACGTTTTTGTTATTAACCTTGATAAAAAACATAAACATAAACATAAAAACCATGATGATGATGATGATGATTATTTACCACAAATTTCTTACCATTCATAATAATGAGTAATTTTTAATTAATAACATTTAAATAAATCGAAAATTTATACGGAATAGGTCAAAATGAGTAATAATATTAAGAACTTGAAAAATAGTTGAGTCAGAATTATCATTATTATTATTTTTTGGAATTCCGGTGGTGATGGTGGCGATGGTGGTGGTGGTGGTGGTGGTGGTGATGGTAATTGTGGTGATTTTTAACTTTTTTATAAAATTTTTTTTTTTTTTCTCTTAATAATCACAAATCATTGGAATAAATTGTATGTAAAAGTTTTCAAAATGTTATCCAGGAATAAATAAAATCCGGTCATTATTATTATTATTATTATTGATAATAGAGGCTTTAATCCTTCCATTAAAATAATAATAATAATAATGATTTTTATTTCGAGTTTCGAGAGAAAGAAACGTTTTTGTGCGGATTCTTATGTCGTATAGTTAAATAAAAAAAAATGGCCTCAAGTCAAAAAAAGTTATTATGCTCACCGACCTCGAACCTGAATTTTTTTTTTTTTTTTGTGTGTGTGGTTTTCCACACGAAATTCTATTTTATTTGATTTAATTCAACGGGGAGGTGGGGGGGGGGAAATTAAAATTCACGAATGAAATTAACAAAAAAAAAAAAAAATTAACAACCATCATGTGTGTTATATTTTTTAATATTGCAACACCATGTAATATTATTTTTATTGTTTTCCTTCGGTCCTGCTATAAATTATTTTTAGGTCAAATTCACGCGCCGAAAACCTGTTTTTTTTTTTTTTTTAAATATTCTTATTTTCTTTGTTTAGAACCTAATGTATGTATATTAATAAAAAATAACAAAAAAAAAAACAAAACAAAAAAAATTAAAATAAAACGCATTATGGGAAAATTACTTTAACGACATGTTTACTTTTTTTTAAAAAGAAAAAAACATTTGAAATCAGTATAAATAACTAGAATCCTTTTAAATAATAATAATAATAATAATAAAATAAAAGTAAGTAGTTTTTTTTTTTTTTTTATTATACAATTGCAAAACTAATTGGAAATAGTGGGAAAATAATTTTTTTGCATTTATTAATTTTTTTTTTTTGATTAATAAATAAATAAATAAATAAATAAATTAATTAATAAAATAATAATAATAGTATTTTGTAGTCGTTTTTTACAATAATAATAATAATTTTTTTACGCCACTGACAACTGACAAATAAATTTTCGCACGTTTTTAATTTTTGAAATGGTAACCACGTAAAAATTATAAATTATAATTAATAATATCTTTACACATAAAATGTTGTGCCAACTTAAAAAAATTAAAAATAAA